AAAAAAAAAAGATATGTGGAAAACCGAAATTATCTTCGTCCATTGCTAGATTTGTTAGAAATTTTTGTTTCTTAAGTATTTCACCAGGGAAAGGCATGCCAGATTTTATACTTCTTAATGAAAATTTTGGGAAACCGGTAATGGTTTAAGGTAATACCCCGGTATTTCTTATAGTTCACGAAAAAACTGCTATATTAACGTGACATATATGTTCTCTAGCCAGTTACTTAGACGTGAATGGAATGTTACAGAGAGCTCGTTGTGTAATACAACCATAACAGCAATTACTCGCATTTGATCCTGATTAATGCGTTGTTCGCAGATTCGCAAGCCACTGATGGAGAAGAAGAGACGGGCGAGGATGAACCAGAGTCTGAACGAACTCAAACAACTGCTCCTGGATGGAAATACCAGCAAGAAAGAGGTATATTTAATTTGTGTAACAACTGTGGCGATTACAGTTGGTTGCGACTCGTGGATTTGTCATCAGAAGGCTTATCCCGCACCGCATATCACAGTTTATTTCCTAATATACTCTATTTACTGAGATAAGGGCAAGCTTGTAGGTCATCACTGTTGTCTGGGATGTGATACCGTGAAGAATGGTAGATTCTTACTTGACTTTAGGAGGAATGTGCTGCCTCCACCTTCACAGTAGTACTTTCCTCCGAAACGTCGACAAATATCAGATTATACAGTGTCGTATACCATAAGGCAGTAATTTTCAAGGTTACCGTAAGGAAAACGAGAAATCTCACATCGCCCTATCCGTGTATAGTATTTTCACTCTTAAACTTGAAATAAAGTTATGCCCGTGCATAGGCTGCGCCATAGATCAAGCGGTTAGTCGCTGACTTCCCACCGCGGCGGCCCGGGTTCGATCTCGGGTCTGGTCAAGTGGGATTTGTGGTGGACAAATTGGCGCTGGGACAGGTTTTCTCCGAGTACTTCGGGTTTCTCTGCCAATATTCATTCCACCAAATTCTCCATCATCATAATCACCCGGGGCAGGCTACAATAGGCTAATCAGTGGCCGCCGTGCCGAGTGGACCCAGTTGGACTCCTCCCCCCACAAAGCAAATTAAAAAAAAAATTACGTCTGTCTATTTGTTAGCTATTCAACAATACACAGTTTCTTCTTCGTTTTCTCCAACTCATGCATAAGCATTTCACAAGTTTTGGTTTCATAGAGGGTAGTCATTATTTACTAACCTGTGTTCGTACTATTAGCTTTTAAATTGATTTGTTTTTTTAACAACTTTGTCATACGCACTTTTCCGGAAACAAAATGCTCACACATCGACCAGACCACTATTATTCTGGACTTCATCCATTGCCTTGTTTCTTCAAAACCAAAATATTCTGAACATGTTTCTGCTTCTGTCTTCAGGTGACTGAGGTACAGGTTGTTCCGCCAGACGACTATGACTGGTTCCCTGTAACGAACCCCAATGGGGTAGGAAGTATCCTCCTCTATACCGCTGATGACGCAAACAGAACTAGTTTCCGAAATGTTGTGGTTTCGAAACAACCCAAGACAATGACCTAGGTCCAAAATATTACCCTAATTATGGTTATACACCATCGTCAGATATGTATTGACGAACGATTTTGTATTTTACAATCATTTTTTCTCTTTATACAGAATTCGAGACCAACCAAACTGGAGAAGGCCGATATCTTGGAAATGGCTGTTCAGCATTTGCAACGCCTCCACGAGCAGCAGAAACAACAGAAAGAACAATGCTTGCAACAACAATGGGCGCCTTCGAAACCTGGAGATACATCATCATTAGAACAGCAGGAGAAAAAACATACTCAAGAATGGCTAGAAACTTACATATCCACGAACAAAATTCAGGTGAAACGTAATTTTGAACAACTAGAAGACCGTATCTCACTTAAACGACACAGGTCTTTGTCGGGAGCACCAGATACAGTTTATATGTGTCAGAAACAATCCAAACAAACGGCGACAACAAAAACAACACAACGAAGTGTGTCATCTTGCATGCAGAAAACGTATTATGAAGGCTCCGCAAGTCCAAAATTCCGTGCAGGATTCAAAGCGTGCGCGCGAGAAGCACGAGAAATCCTTAACAATTTTGATGATGTGGACCCAGCTGTTAGTGATAGGTTAGCGGACCACCTGGCATCGTGTCTCGACTCTCTAGAAAATAAGAATGACGTAACGAGCAGTTGCAGCGATCAGCAGGTTGCAGACAGCACACAGAACACCGCGCCAGAAGTCCGGGTGTTCCCTTCGGCGTCGCCTTCTGCCCTCATTCAAACTTCGACAGGATTTACACTACTGCCCACAAAATTACCAAATGGGGATCTTGCCTTTGTCATTCCTGCTGGGATTAAGCAGAGTGTAACATCTCGTCTGAGTAATGAGTATGCTAGGAATTATAACCCAGACTGTGGAATTCAGTGTATTGAGGAAAGCAAGCATTTGCAAGAAGGCGAGGTATGGAGACCGTGGTGAGAGAAATACTTCCTGGAGTAAACATGACCTGTGATAACCATCAAAATGATACTTGTTTACAGTTTACAGAAGTTTACAGAAGTGACTGTGGTTCCAAATAAGTAACTGTAGAAATACAGAAGTACAAATTGTATTGTATTACTGTACAAGAAGCAAGTGATAATTCAGCCAGACGGAACTTTAATTAGAATAATGGTTACATTCTTACAGTGTAGTTCTTGAATGGACATGGTATTCACTTTGTAGGATTTGAGGCTTTCACGGCGGTGACTATGAAGAAAGCAGTCTTCTGGGATTTGGCACCGTGTATATGTGGTGTTAACCGACGTTTCGGAGGAACGTATCGCCCCCATCTTCAGGGTAGAAGAAAAAGTATAAGAAATCTGCAAGCGACAACACCGTGAGAAACTGGGGGCGATACGTTCCTCCGAAACGTCGGTTAACACCACATATACACGGTGCCAAATCCCAGAAGACTGCTTTCTTCATGGTATTCACTTGTTCTGCAATAAATGTTTTAATCCGTGACATGAAAATATAAAATGTTATTGAATAAATTTAACTTTGTCAATTTCTGGAAATAACAAGGCGTCAAATCGAAAGTCAACGGCCTCCGTGTTGCTACAGGAGATACCCCTCGGGAAATGTTACAAAAACATGAATTTCATAATTGTTATTCCGAAGAACTGAGGTGCCTATACAGCTCATCAGTAGTGCACTAAAATAACCTATTTTCCTAAAAAGAGAGACTTCAGTTTTACGTGAGTCATTTCCTTGATTCACATAAGCAAATGATAAATTTATTCAGTGTCGGGATAGCGACTGCCTACGGGCTGGACGACCGAGGGATCGGAGTTCGAGTCCCGGGGAGGGGGAAGAATTTTCTCTTCTCGAAGTCTTCCAGACTGGCTCTGGGGTCCACCCAACCTCCTATCCAATGGGTACCGAGGGCTCTTTCCCCAGGAGTAAAGCTGCAGGGACGTGAAGCTGACTACTCACTTCCAACTAGTGTCAAGGTCAAGAAAATGTGGACCTATAATATCCACTCCACGCCTTCATGGCGCAGTGCTTAATTAGTGGAGCAAAGGGACAAATTTACCTCGTCTTGTACACATAGACGCAGTAAGTAAAGTAAAAAAAAGTAAAGCTATCCCTGTACCAGGCCGTGAAGGCCCATAGGTTTGTGAGACGTTGAGGGTCCAACATTATCTAGACAATCGGCTCACAGATGGCGGTAAGGTTGTCAGCCTTACGCGCCGGTCGCGCTTTACTCCCCAGGAAAATTATTTAATTAGTTCCTGGTACTCATTTCTGTTAGAGGCTGAGTGAACCCCAGGGCCATAGTGCGGCTGGAAGGATTAGGTCAATTTAAAAAAATCCAATGACCTCATCGGGACTTGAACCCGCGACCTTCCGGCTTGTAGCATAGCCCCTTAATCACTACGCTACCTGCACATAGAAGCAGTGCAAATTTAAACTTCATTTCAGTCGTTGACGTAAATTCAGAGATTAAGGGATTTTGAAGACGATATCTTATATTGAATCAATGTTACTTCAAGGCAGACACTTCGCATTCCAATTTCTTTATCGGGCGGCTAATATCTCTTCTTCTTCTTCTTCTTCTTCTTCTGCGTGTATAATAAATTACATTTTGTGTATTTTCATATCGATGCAGATTTCACAGACTCCGGTTCTATTTTCCTTCATGTCAGTCTTCCATTCAGTACAGGTCTGCAGTAGTTGTTACTGCACGTACACTTACTACTTAAGCTGCACTTAGCTATAAGCGGAAAATTTGGATGTTTAATGTGGATATTCTATCAGTTTGGTCATCAGTTCGTCATCTGTGACCTAGTTTCGACAGGGCTCTCTTCAGGTAAGGTTTACATTGTCACAGATATGAATAACTCAGTTTGGAGTTACCAAGAATAAAATTCAGGAGGCTTTATTGTGAGTCGATAAGAGCATAAACGAACATGAGGAAGCTCTGACATAATGCGATGCCTTACTATATTACTTAAGGATGCCGAACCGATTGACGAGTTCATTCATTTTCGATTACAGTTGTATAACGCATTATGACAAGAGAGGATATAGGAAGGAGGCAGTCATAGATCACATCCCAGAATATTCAAGGAAACACTAAGGAGTACCACGAAAACCTTCCGTCTGTGCGGTAGATTTCTCGGTCAGAATTAGAATTTTCAGAATAAAGGCACACGCCTTACCGCTCAGCAGATGTGAGTGATGGAAAATATCACGGAGATGTCAGGAGTAGATGCTTCAATCCGAAATATACCGAAATTCCAGTCACCAGATCCAACCGTAAGATCGAACAGTACTGATCACCCTTCTGACCGCACACACACACACACACACACACACACACACACACACACACATATCCCGTGTGCACTGATGTAATCACGCGGTTTCTCTTCCCGCACCCCGGACACTAAGAAATTTCGACTCTACTGGGTTTGCTGTGGTTCTAGAATTCATGAATGATTTTTTTATTATTTCTGATGCGTCTGTATGACGCAAACATTTTTCTGTTGTATATAATTCTTATGGGGGCACGCGGTAGCGTAGTTGGTTGAGGGGCTATGCTACAAGCCGGAAGGTCGCGGGTTCAAGTCCCGATGAGGTCATTGGATCTTTTTCAGTTGACCTAGTCCTTCCAGCCGCACTATGGCCCTGGGGTTTACTCAGCCTCTAACAGAAATGAGTACCAGGAACTAATTAAATAATATTCCTGGGGAGTAAAGCGCGGCCGGCGCGTAAGGCTGACAACCTTATCGCCATCTTTGAGCCGATTGTCTAGATAATGTGGGACCCTCAAGTCTCACGACCCTGTGGACCTTCATGGCCTGGTACAGGGATAGCTTTACTTTTTTACTTTTTTTATATAATTCTTATATTTTTACGAACAGCATAAAATACACTAATAATATCAGCTAATATCTGTCCAAATATTGTGTTTCTGGACATTATCCATCGTCCTGTTTCTATCTAAAAACACCGTCCTGCTTATATTTCGAAACAGTGTTTCGGAGACTAGATTATGTCTCCGTCTTCAGATAAAACCTAATCAGTTGGACCGAATCGATGGAGCTAGTCCGTATCTTGGGAGAATTCAGTCTCCGACACGTTGTGTTTTCAATTATAAACAGGACTGTGTTTTTAAACAAAATCAGGATGGATGGATAATGTCCAGAAACATAATATTTGTACTAATGTACCACTGTCAGAAACTTTTAGAGCTTAATGTTTGTCCGCTAATTTATTTTGGTTTTCATCCGAATATTATGCCTACATGAAGCGAAATTTATCGGCCCACTATACAGAATATTCCAAAAAAATGCCTCTCATTTCACATCTTTTGTTCAACTGTCTGTGACTGGAAAGAATTATTAAACTGCCATGTGCAAGTTTACAGCGTTAACGCTGTACCGCTACATGAAGGAAGCGCACGCCAACAAATCCAACTCCAGGGGGCAGGTCCGAATAATAGTAGTGTAGTTATTTCTTTCATCCATTCATCCATCAATGGCCCTACACCCCTTTGTTGGGCCCTGGCCTCTTCTTCAGTTTCGTAATCTTTTGCACAGACGGTAGGGCTCCTTGGACGAGTGAGCAGCACGTCTCAAGGCCACTGCCTACATACAGGACAACATAAACATACGCGCGCGCGCGCACACACACACACACATCCGTGACTTGAGTGAGATTCGAACCCACGATCCCAGCGTTGAAGCTAGGGAAGACAGTTCATGCCTTTCGCCGCGCGGCCACCGTGATCGACGATGCAGTTGTTTAACTACGTGTATGAACACCACATATGGACTAGTATTCATGTGTGGCGTTCAAGTAGCTGCATTTTTGCAGTGCGTAATAATTCTAAGATGTGAGTTACGCGCTGATTTAAGGATACGCTGAGCGTGTGAGGATTCCGCGTCTCGAACGCGACAGCCTGCGTAATGAAGCAGTACACTGAAAAATCCCTTCCTCTACGACTCTACAGCCCTTTGGACCTTGGCCGCTTTTCAGTTCCTTAATTCTATACACAGTCAGTCGGACTCTTTGCACGGGGGATCAGCACGTCGCAAGGCAGCTACCTACACACAGAATAAGACAACAGAGACATCCACGCTTTGAGTGGGATTAGAGCCCACGATCCCAGACTTCGAGTGAGCGAAAACAGTTCATGCCTAAGACGGCGCGGCCATGTGATCGGTTGAATTTGCTATGTACCTGGAATGAATTACAGACATCAATGTTACTTAACTCGCCAATTCTCACCTCAACCCTGTGCTGCTTTCCATTGTCGTATAAAAGTTTCTTAAATGATTAGGGAAATCCACGCCTTTTGAAGAACTTGGAGGTTCATTTTTGTGTTATTTAGAATTAGCTACTGGACCCTACCCTAATCCAGTCCACAGTCACGTACCCAGTCTTAATTTTAATGCTACATTCCCATCCCCGCCTGAATGTCTCAAGTGGCCTTTTCCCCTTCGGGTTTCCGACCGTAATTGAGTATGCATTTTGCGTTTCATCTGCAGATACTACTAAACACATCTCGCCCGCTTTATTCTTCTCCGTCTGGCCGCCCTAATATTGTCTGGTGAATGCCATAAGTTATGGACCTCTCATTGTGTAACTTTCCCTACTATACAAAAACAAACAAATAAACAAACTCCGTGGTTTCAGTCCGCAAGCGAACTATACCGACCGGGAGACAACCGCTTGTCGGCGAACACCCACTACTTTTCAGAAAATCTGGTAGCGCCGAGAATCGAAACCGGTAGCTCTGGATCTGTAGCCAGGAACTCTGACCAATAGACCACATAGGCTGTCTTTTCTCTACTATGATCTAATATAAATACATCTTTCTTCCTTGGGCTTCCAGTCTTCTCAGTAATTCGTTCTACATATATGTTCTCCTTTTGGGTGCGAACCTACGCCCTACAGCCTGAGTATATAGCCTTAGAAAACATAAAATTAGGGCTACGTTAGAAAATAGCTAGCCGATTTTAATAAAAATCAGTATGAACATCATGCCATTAGAGACATCCCCACTTTATTATGAACAAGATTGACAAGGCTGCCGTCGGAACTTGGAGGTTGGAGGAAATATTGATGCTCTTCCGAGGTGCGGGGAAGACGTACACTGTCCATTCTCGGAAGTTACACGTTTACGATCACTTGCAACAGCTCCACGTCAGTAGATAGCCCGAGAGTCTAAACAGAAACGCGACTGACCCAAAGCAGCAGCGCTTCTTCTCAACCTCGAC